CATTTACACACACACACACACACACACACACACACACACACACACACACACACTGGGAGTGAAAAGAATATATATGAGCTACAGACAGGATAGCTCCCTATGTTTCCTGGATGAGTCTCCAACTCATAGACTCAAGTGATTTTCCTGCCTCAGCCTTCCTATGAACCAGAGCCACATGTGTGCAAATTTCTAGCTCAAACTTCAAAATCTGAGCTCAGAACCGGAGGCTCTGGGTTGTTGGTAGCTCTCTTAACTGAAACCTCATCGAGGCTGGAGCTAACAAAACACAGACATAAAGAAGCTCCTATCTTGGGTGAAGGAGAGAGGGAAAGCTGTCCACCATGAGGAGAAGTGCACAGCTCTGCTTTGAGTCCACGAGGTACCAAAGGAAGAGGGAGTTGTTAAGGAATTTTAATTCAGAACATGGCTGTTCTGGCAAGATATCATATCCAAAGACTTTCTAGGTCTGTGTGATTCAGCTGGAATGCAAACATACCTTTAATCCAAGAGACATAGGCCAGCAGTTCTGAATTCAAGGCCAGCCTGGTATACAGCAAGTTTCAGGTAAAGAAAAGCTTAGATCCAGGCGTGGTGGTACAAGCCTTTAATCCCGAACAATGACGGTAAAGTAAGTCTGCAGAAGAAAGCACCCATGTTTGAAAGAGATGTCTAATTGAGTGGCAGAAAAAGTGACGAATCAGAGAAAGGTTTGACAGAATAGGATACGCCCAAGTCTCTCAGGGCAATGCAGAGAGTTAAAAAAAAAGAGAAAGAGAGGGAGAGGGAGCAATTTTTACTGGGACAGTAATAGAGAGATGGGTTGCAGAGAGAGAGAACTCAGGTGAAGACTGAATGAGCCAGAAAATGAGAAGGAGCCAGGAGATTAGAGCAGATTGTTGGAGTTAGTTTGAGGCCAAGCTGAGCAATTTAGAGGGTAAGAGAAAAGCCAGATCGAAAGTCAGCTTGGAGAGGAGTTTGAGTCAGAACAGCTGAGTTGAACCAGCCAGCACAGAGCTCAGTAAGGACAAGAAAGGGTGAGCTTATTCAGCAGTAAGTCTCAGAGGCTGAAAACATTCTAGGCCTAGGTTAGATTGTATGGAGGCTAGAAGCTTCCAGGACTAGGCCTAGGTTAGCAGAAGGAGGCAGTAAGCCTCCCAGACAGCAACTAAATCAGTCAAATAAAAGTTACTTTTATGGGGAGTGGAACACACACACACATACACGTACACACGCATGCACACACGGTCAGGAGAGGACAGAGACAGAGCCAAGAAAGGACAAGAGCAAGATTGTGCTCACTTTTCGCTTCCAATCCCAGCCTCCCCAAGGCTGGGACTTGTATCTCCTTTTCGGCTTCAGTGAGATTTTCCTGTTCAATAGTTTCTTGAGCAAGCTGGAGGAATTTCCAGCCTTTAGTCACAGATCAAATGTACCAAAGAACTAGCTTTGGAGGGTAAATATTCCCAAGGCCTAGTTTTCTCACTGGGAAAGTGAATGGATTGAAAAGGAGAGCTCAAAACCCCTTGTTTCCAAGGAAGGTTAAGAAGCCTCAGTATGTCACACCAGTGCCAGGGAGTAAGCAAAGACTCGGGATGAAAGCTGAGGCAGGAGAAATCCTGTTGACTCATTTCCACACTCCCTGCCCTGGCTGCAGTCTTGGAAGGAAACAATCCTGGAAAGCTGGAGGCAGCTTTGTTCAACATGGAAATCAGTGAGCAGGACCCTGACATCATCAGCCTGCAGATGTCAGACCAGTTATGCCTGCCAGAGGTGCAGCTGATACAAGTCTTCCAGACACAAGAATGTCCCAAACGAGGCGACATTGCAGGTACCATTGCTCAGGTCAAGGGTGAAGTGTCAAGAGGTTTCCATGAAGAAACAATGGCTGTTGCAGGCCCTGGCATGGCCTGCTGCATAGCAAAGCTGCCAAAGCTGCTGTAGCTTTCTGCTCTATGTGATCCTATTGAGCAGTGGCAAAGAATAGGCTTTGCCACTACGTGGGCTTTTTCCTTTTGCTCATAAGAGGTGCTTGTAGCTTCTCCCTGTATGTGCTTCCTGGGATGGGTTATCCTCAGCGTGGGAAAACATCACCTTCCTGAGACTTTCTCAGCTGATGCCTGCCTCCAAGTTCAAAGGATCAATTTAGTCCCTAATACCCCACACCTGTGGACACTATACCAGCTGGTTCCGAGCACCATCTTTTGGCAAGGATATTCTGGGGGGAATCTATGACCATCTTGAGTTATCTGTGTCTCTAATCCATTTATCATTGACACAAACTTTACCCACTCAACACTCCAAGATCAGCAAATTCTCAGCCTCCTCCAGGGCCTCTTTGAAGGGAGAGACCTAAGCGTTTGCATTCTAAGAATCGCCTAAACTCTTTCCATGTTTCTTTAGTTACAAAATGGTTAAAGTGCCTTTTACCATGAGACTGGTAGAATTATCCTATTCAGTGTGGAGCCTGGGGCCTGGTTTATGGACTTGGGAGTCACCTTCCAGACATATCCCTTTAGATGGACGACAGCCATAGGGTGCTGGCATGTCCACACCCCACATTACCTTGTGCCTGTAGTTCAGGTCACATGGAGGCCTCTAACAAACAGGCAGAGACATTGCTGGGTCTCTCCATGGACCCTCCGTCTGAGCAACTCCCAGCTAAGTGAAAGGGCACACAGGCAGAGGCCTGCTCCCAATGGGAGGCCTGGGGGACAATACTCACTGGGGCTGCTGCCCAACAATGCCAGTGGAAATGTTGCAACATGCTCACCATGTCCCGGGTCAAAGGCATCATAATTGCGTCTTTGTTCCAGAGTTCACCACTCCTTCCAAAACCAGCTCATGGGATGTACACACCTCACCTGCAACCCCTACAATTCAGCCTCCTTACCAGACAGCTACTGCCCAGGATCTGAAGTCTGGCCATCCAGCTTTCTCTCCTCTACCCTGTCTCTCTCGTTAAGCTGGATGGACATCCAAGCCATCCTGGTTTCTATGGACAGATAGACAGGTAGCCATGGTACTCCAGATCCTTGTTCAAACATATGTGTAGCTACACAGCTATCTCCACAAACCACCAGAGCAGCAGAAAAGACACAAACAATTTTTTTTTTTTTTGAGACAGGGCTTCACCATTTACTGTCACATGGCCTCAGACTCTATGCAGATGAGGCTGGCCTCAGCCTCACACAGGCCTGCCGAGATGTGCCTCCTGATTGCTCTGATTAAAGGCATGTTCCCCCACTCTCCCATGGATTCATGGAGCCGGACTCTTCTGCCATCCTGGCCAACGGCTAACTCACCTCAAAGACTCAGGAGCTCACCACCTCCTGCTACTCTGGGTCACAAAGCAGTGGTGGTGAGGCAGGGCACATGTGGCAATATCTGAGGAAGAGCTTGAAAGAACTGACCTTGCATTCAAAAGCGAGTTCCTGTCTCTCCTAGGAGCAAGCTCCCAAGAGAACAAACTCCAACCCCCTCACCCCCACCCTCCCAACGCCTCTCATTCTGTCACAAGAGATCCCTCATGGAGCCTCAGGGACTCAGAGCTTCCAGAGCCAGCCCCAAGGCAATACCAGCTCCCTTACAGATCAGGGAGCTGGGGATGACGAGAAGTTACACAGAAGGGAAGCAGTGTGGTGGTCACCTAGTCAAGATCTGATACCACGTCATGTTCTGTCACGTGCAGTGTCGCTGCCAACCACCCAGGCACAAGGACAGAGCCTGGCTTCTCAGGGAGGGGAATGGGCTATGATGATGCCAGCCTCAGGCGGGGAGTCCAGCCTGTGTTCACATCCCAGCGCTGTGCTCGGGAGCTGTGTCCCCAAGAATGCCCACTGAGATTTCTTTAGTGTCTCTGCAGCCACCCAGAGGCATTATCGTTCAGGAACTTGGGAGCACTGCTTTTGTCCTCAGAACACTCAGCTCTCTGTGTGCCTCAGTCATTCTATCTACAGAATGGATGCAGTGATCCTTTGGATTGCTTTCCTTTCAGTGTCTTAGGAGGGAACAGGGAAGACGCTTCCCTCTCAAAGGGCCCACAAGTGCAATCCAGGGGTACACCTATGTACAAGTCCTGCCCCCAGGAAACTGAAACTGAAACCAAAACAAGACCCCGACACCCCTCCCCACCCCCATCAAGCTCCACCTGACAGGTTGTGGGACCCTCTGGCCCTTCAGGAGCTACATGAGCCTGCAACCATGGACCGACAGACTCCATCACTCTTTTCTCCATCTGCTGTGCCTTTTCTTGCCAAGGACATCGAGGGATTTTGGTTCACTCTGTAAGGACCCTGGAACCAGCAGACCCCGGCAAGCTATGGGCGTGGTCCCTATGTCAGTTCCTAATGACGAAGTGACTACTGCAGGGCCCTCCAGGACCTGGCTTCATCCAGTGCCTGGGCCCTCTTCCCAGGTCCCGGTGGCCTCCAGCTCAGCAGGAGGCAGTCAGCTCACGGCCCACTCACTGCCCAGACACCAGCCAACCTCCCACAGGGCCCTGGCCCCTCCTCAGACATCTTGCCAGGGGCCTGGGGACTCTGGAACCCATTGTGATATCATGGCCTGCCTTCTGCACCAGCTGGCGGGGTCCTCCCACTCCTGCCTGGATCCTGGCAGAGAGACAGCTCAAGTGGGCAAGCTGTCATTGGGCAGCCCCTGAACTAAAGCTACCATCTCCTCTGGCTTCAGATGGCATGGGGTCCCCGACTAGGGAACGGATGCTTCTGCTCCCACCTTGGCCCTTGCGTTAGCACAAGCCGGCTAATTAGCCCCAAGCCAGGGAGACATTCTTCCACCAGGCAAACTGCTGGCCTGAAGCCCAAACCAACAGGGGAACTTCAGACTCCTCGGCCCTCTCCCTTCCAGATGGAAATAACGTATAGCTGCAGAGGTGGGGGGAGGAGGAGAGGAACAAAACCCCAGCCGGGCCTAGGAGCCAGGCTGGAACCCAGGAGGCAGGCAGGAACCCAGGACTGGACAGTCGAAGGCCAGGCACTCACCACTTTCGTTCTTCTCGATGACATCTACCACCTCCCCGGCCTGGAGGCTCAGCTCCGAGTTCTCTTGTTTCTTATAGTTGGACACCACCACGTACTGTTCCAGGATCATGGGCTCGGCGTTGGTGTCGGCACCTGGCGAGGGCAGAAAGCATGCGGTGAGCCAGCGGCCAGCCGTGGCCCCGCGTCCGGGGCGCCCTCTGTCCATCGCCCTCGAGGGAGGCTGCTCGGTCGCCAGGTCTGCACCGAGGAGCAGCCCGTAGCCAGGGCTCGCAGCTTGCTGGGCCCCAAGGACAGGCCATATAGCAAGGCCCCACACCGGCCCGCTGCACCGCGGGGACCGGGGGACATGGGGAGCCAGGGGGACGGGGAGGGGGGGAGAAGGGGGTGGAGAGAAGCAGAGACAGGCAGAGATGCAAGCCAAGGAAATTGAGGGAAAAGACTGCTGCTGCGTGTGAAGAGTTAGTCACAGGCCGGCATGGGGGAGTCTGCGGAGAGGCCCAGGGCCTCCCATCTCTCCAGACTCTTGGGCTGGCTGGGGTAGGAGAGGAGGGCCACAGGAGCACAGTGGGCGGCCCATGAAGGTTGAGGCCAGAGCACAGGGGAGAGAAAGAAGAGAGGAGAATGGAAGGTTCAGGAGACCGGCTGCCTCTACCCCTGGCCTTTAACCCAGAGAGAAAAGGCAGCAGGGTTTCCCTCAGGAGGGAGAGGGAGAGAACTTCTCCACAGCCTAGGTCCAGCAAAGAGTCAAGAGGGTTTGAGGCCGCCAATCACCAGGGCTTACTCGCAACCCTTAAATAGAAACACATGAGACCCATCGAATGAGGAGCCGGGGGTGGAGGCAGGGGATGGGAGGAGGGCCCAGACTGTTTACTTGAAACCCAAGAAGAAAGTCCCAGCGCCAGTGCTGGCGAGAGCCCCCCCCCCTGCCAACTTTTCCTCAAGTTCGGCTCCATTCCTGTCCTCCCGGCTCTCCGGCTCTTCAAGGGCCAGGCAGACAGCAGCCTTAGGCTTTCCGGAGGAGCCTTCCTGGGCCTCTCTGCCATCTCAACCAGCAGAGGCTGCCTGGTCCCCCTTGATGTGCTGGGCAGTTTTAAGAGCCTCTGAGTCAAAGGCTGGGGTGTATCAGATTGAGAGAGAGAGAGAGAGAGAGAGAGAGAGAGAGAGAGAGAAAGAGAGAGTATGCGGGCCCTGCTTTCAGGAGCAAGCCAGTTCTTTGTCCTATTTGGCCACTGGACCAGTGTGGCACTCGTTAAACAAGCACCAGGCTGGGAAGTGGACAGCTGGGTACCCCTCTTGGCTTAAAGGGGTGGCTGGATGCGCTGTCAAATCTCTGCTCTTCAACTGTTACCGTGGACACTCCCAAAGACAGGATGCCCTGTTAGCCTTATACAAATCCACAAGCCAGAAAAATGACTAATCACCTCTTTCAGGAAGCCTTCCCAGACCCCTCCACCCCCAAGAGAATTCCTAGTACATTTCTTGCACCATATGTTTGTCAGTCAGCCTGTAATTCCCACACTAGAGACAGAGGCAAGAGAATCAGGAGTTCAAGGTCAGCCTGGGTGGCCAGTCAAGAAACCTGTCTCAAAACCAAAACAAATGCAAAATGCCACCAACGTTCTCTCGGTCTCTCAAAGGCTGGGGCTTTTGCTCCACTAGGTCTCCTGGGGTGCCTCACCCCTCAGACACATTCCCTCTGCATGACTGAGTCTGACTCATATGCCAGGCAGGTATGGCTGCAGTCCGCCTCGAAACACCCCTTTTCTCTTCCTGTTTAACTCAAAAATTAATGAGAGGCTCAGAGAGAACAAGAGACTCATGCAGTTCCCACAGCTCATAGAGAGAGAGCCAAACCACTCACGGTCTTTTTGAAGGTTCAAGGCCACCTCTCTCCTAATCACAGAATGCTGCTCTGTCTCCATGCACACGTTCCTTCTGACACAATGACTCTCCACTTAGGAACACAGACTGGGCACAGGAGCTTATGAACCTCAAACTCTGATGCCCAGGCTTTTGCTCAGCTTTGTGGGTGGGGCCTCAGCACGAGTCACTTTGCATAACCCATCCTGTCCCACGGTTGAGAGACGCAGCCAAAAGTGAGGTGTGCTGCCGAGACTTCTTGGTCCTTAGTGAAGAAGTCCACGCCAAGGTCTGTGGCCAGAGAACTCTGGGAGTGTCAAAGGAGGCTCTCTCAGGAGGAGAAAGAAACCATGGTCCTGGCACTTTTCTCCTGCATGGTGTGGGCTTTGCAGCCCCAGCTGGGCCCTTTGGAGACTCAGAAGCTGAGGTGTCCCCTGTGTGCACACATGGCGGCCCTAGACAGCCCCTGCCAAGCCAGAATTGTATTTCAGGCAGAAACTCAACCAACAGCAGGGCAGCCTGGCCTCTGTTCTCACCTGTCGCCAGCTTCTGTACCAGCTAGCAACAGACTGGGCACTGGGCTGGCAACTAGCCTCCCACTGTGCCCTGAAGAATATCAGTGCCTGGTAGCACAAACCAAAATGGGACCAGACTGAGAGGACCTTAAATGTGAAAAATGGGTAAGGACCCAAATGGGGGGACAGTGGTAGGGGTTCTGGAGCAACCTGAGGCTTCTAAGTCCTGACAGTGGCCAAGCACAGGCAAGTCCCCATCAGGGTCCCTCAGGGTCAGTCCCATCCTCAGCACCCAACTGCAGCATCATGCTTGGGCCTCGCAGGGACCTTCCAGCCTCGTGTTACACACATGCAAACTGAATGTCACGAGGGGAAGCCAGCTGTGTGTCCTCAGCTGGGATTATACCCAAGTCCCGTGCCACCAAGTATGTGATCTTAACTCCTGCACCACATGTGGCCTACAGGTGCCATTGATGCTTAGTCTCTAGGAAGGACCCTGCCCTACCTGCATCCCCAGACACCTGACACCCAGGTGGTGCCTGATGAACACTGGAGTTCAGGGTTCTTACAGGCTCATGCTGTGACCTCTGTTGAGAGGCCCATGCACCCATTAGTGGTAGGCACTGAGCATGAGAAGAATGTACTTCCAGACAGTGTGACTGTAAGGGCCTTTTACTTCCCAAATGTGGGGACAATAAATGACTGAACTGGAAAGGAGAAAAAGGAGATGGGAAACTGAGGCAATAAGGAGCAAGAAGCTCAGGGATTGTGGCCAGACAATGGACAAAAAATGTGAGGATGAAGATGAGGTGCCGGTGGAGGGGACAGGTATCAGCTCATTTTGATCCAAGCCAAGAAAAATCCGAGGCAGGATTTCAAAGCAGAGGAAAATCTACACACCCACAGCCCTCATCCGCAGTCTGCTGGAAAACTGGCTGGAGCCTCTAACGGCTAGCATTCTGGGACTCAGGAAGGCAAAGCAGAGAGCGCTTTCTCCAGGGCCGCACAGCATGGGCAGGTTGCCACTCTTCTTGCAGACAGCTGCACTAGCTGCAGGGTTCTCTCTCTCTCTCTCTCTGTCCCCTCTCTCCCTCCCACCCCCAGTGCAGGCAGGCTCCCAGCTCTCCCCCTCTGGCATCTGCCTCTCGGGGTGTTGCTGCATGGCAGCAGGCACTAAGAGCAGGTATCCAGATGAGAAACGGCTTGGTGGTAGGTGATGATGTCATCTATAGAGGCAGCTCTGGATCTCCTCCAAGGCAGGCAAAGGCCTGGAAAATCGGGGTCTGGAGGACTCTGCCTTAGGGAGGGGGAGGGAGCCTCCTGTGCTCAGATGAGGCTCTGGCACTGAGCAGAGGGGTGGACACTCCTGGATAGCACTGCCTCTCCAGCCTTAGAAAGGGGCTTTGCACAAGAGGTGGATTCTTAAGCGTTCCTTGGCTGGAGTCCTTGGCTGGACCTGCTGGGCTCCTGGGCTCCTGAGGGTCTCTGCCCTAGCCCTGCCTCACACCCAGATTCCTCCAATTACGATCTGCATAGCAATTTGGGGGTTTTATTGTCAATTCAAGCTTCTGAACTAGGCCTTTGCTAACTCATTCCTGGGCTCCTTCAGTGGCTCCTCATTACTTGAAGAATAAAGGGCAAATTCAAGCCCCGTCTTTCTTGTGATTGGTGCTCCCCTGGCTCCCTGATACTCCTCCACCATTCCATGTAGTGTTCATTGCTCAGCACGTGAGTGAGCACTCTGTCCCTGTGTACGCTCTCCTTAAGCCTTTCCTGTAGGACTTGCCCCTGCCCCACGCGTGTTCCCTTCTATTCCTCTAATTCTACCCAAGCATTCCTGCCCCTTAGGAGGCTCCCTTAGCACTCCAGCCACGGTGTCTCTTCTCTCCTGGCCTTCTGGTTGGGAATGGTTCTCCAACCAAACCGTGTGCTTCAGACTAGTCACCTCTGATTCCAGTGCCATAGGACATGACCCAGACAGAACCATTTCCCCTGATCCCGAGGCACAAACTTAGTATCACTGTCAGAGCTTCTGGAGTCCAGTCCTGCCTGCCCTTGTTTGCTCTGTGACGTTGGGGAGCACACTTGCCCTTCCTGAGGTTAGCTCCTCATATGTGAACAGGAACAGTACCTCATGGGGCTGTCCTGTGAATGCTAAAGCCCTGTGCAAAGTACAGACAGCTGTTTAGAGTGCAGGGACTATGGGAGACTTGGGAGGAACTGAAGACTCACTACCAGAGGCAGCTCATAGCCAAAGCCCCAGGACCCGGAGCGAGGAGAGGGGAGCCTAAAGCTACTCCCCTGCAGTGTGCCTCTTCTAGAGCCCCCTCCAGACAGGCATGGACTTACTGGCTGGAGAGAGCCAACTCTGAGCCTCGAGGCTGCTCTGGGTTGGATGCCAGCCTAAGCAGCCCCAGAACTCTATCTATCCCTTGGGATCTCTGGCATCAGCCCATCAGCTCTGACTTTCCCGATGAACAGAATTCCCCCAACATTCCAGAAGGGAAACCAAGGCTTGGAGACTCTAGTCTTGGACTCTTAGTTAGCTGTCCCTGCTGCTCTAGGGTGGGGATGGGGGCGGGGAGGTGGGGAAGCCAGGCCTTATGGGAGCTCTGCCACAGGTTCCCCAAGACACTCCCAACCCTGGGCATCCCACCAAGACCCAACAGTCCCTCACAGCCTGGTGCTCCCAGGCTCCACTGGGCCTGCTGGCCTCTCAGCTATACGTTTGGTGAATAGAATGTATTGCTGCGGGCCAAGTGTGCTCTGCTTCACTGGCTTGAGCAGAGGGGAAAAAGGGACAGGAGCCCAGTGATTAGCTCAGGCCCAGGCCGGCGTCATAGGGAACACTGTAAGGACGACCAGCAGGGAAGGGGGATCTTCTCCGCTGCCTTCTCTCCCAGGATGCTCAACACTCCCTCCCTGCCAACAGTGGTGGTGGAAAGTGAAGGAGGGATGAAACTTAAGCTTTGACCCTGCAACTGGCCCAAGACCCCTTTTTACCCTAATCCTCTGCCATACCTCTCCAACCCCTCGGCCTGAATATTTGCTCTTAGAATGAAAAGGATCCTGTTGAAGATCCTTCTGGAAATGCCATCCTTCTCCCACCATCTACTCCAGGCATTATAGTCCTGCTGTTCATGGTTTTTGCCACAAGGCAAAACTGACCCTCTCTCCAGATGGACCAGATACAGGCCAAGTTCCTGGGCCCCGAAGGCACCTTACCTGGCAGCTAATGGCCCTGGGGCATTTCCAAGCTCTGGACTACTGGGAAGTGGGGGGCTGTGATCCACCCTGTCACACTCACAGAAAGGGGTCTCCTGTACTCCAGATCTCTAGCTCCCCAGAGAGATCTCAAAAGTGGGTTTGGATTTTGGCTCTTCTTTGGCTACTCTCCCTGGGAAAGTCAATGTGATAAGGCAGAATATGACAGCAGCCCACCATCATCCTGGCACAGAAATCCCCAGAGATGGCGTTGTATGCCTTTGGGAAGGTTATGCAACCCACCCAGGGCAGCACGGGCAGGGCATGGCTGAGCTGGGATTCAAACCCACAGGCCCTGAGCCAGCACATACTCACACTCTGATACTTGGGCACTATTCTACAAGGTTCCATGGCTCATCTGAAGACTATAAAGGGTTCTCCCGGCAGGCAGAGGGCCCAGGGAGTGGAAAAGCCCTGCATGCAGATGAAGGGAAACAGGCACCAGCTCCCCGGCACACATGCTGGGACACACATGTTCAGGAACACATGCACGCAAGGCAGTACCTGTCACGTCCTTCTTGGGAGACTCAGCCCAGCTGGACAACCACACTTCCAAGTCCCCGAGAGAGCAAGGAGAAGCAGGAGAGAAAACCGTTAGGCAGGCAGGAGGGCCACGGATGCGTGGCTGCAGACACTGAGGTTCAGGGCGCCCTGGGCGGAAGGCGGGGGAGGGGAGGGAATGATTTCCTGGCCTGGGATGGCTGCTGGGCGTGGGCCTGTATGATTACAGAGGCTGGCTGGGATAATGAGGTGTCTGTTGAAACACAGGAACCTCTGAAGCAGATTCCTGACCCAGGCCCTCCCTGCAATGGGATTTGGCTTTAGTGTGGGCTGGAGAAGGCAGGACTCTCCTCCTTTGCCATGTGGGAGGCTGGTCCCATGGGGCCTGGTGGCTCCAAGGATTGTCAAAGGCCAGCAGGCTCATCCGACCAGACCCAGGACCTCAAATGTCAGGGTAGTTTTCAAGTTTTATGATACCACATCTACTTTGTCCTGAGGTCTTGTTTGGCTCTTGCCACAGCTACATCCACCCAGGGAGGAAGCAGGCCTGAGGGGGGTTGAGGGGAGACTCCCCACAGCAGCGGTTTCCAACCTTCCCAAAACTGCGTGTGACCCTTTAGTGCAGCTCCTCATGTTGTGGTGACCTCAGCCATAAAATTATTTTCATGGCTACTTCATAACTGTAATTTTGCTCCTGTTATGAATCGTACTGTAAATATCTCTGTTTTCTGATGGTCTTAGGGACCCCTGTGAAAGGGCTGTTGGAAATACCAAGGGGGTTGCAACCCACAGGTTGAGAACACTGTTGTGCAGACCCTCACTTCACACTGGGCTCGGGAGTTAGTGGCCAGGAGATGGGGGCCGCATTCCAGGCTCAGGCAATGCTAGCCTGCCTAGGTCTCAGTTTCCTCACTGGAGAAACAGTTATGTTGTCTCCTGCCAAGAGGGAGGATAAAACAAAAGCACTCGAGAGAAACAAGACATTACAGCCTAGGATGCCATCAGCCCTGTGATGAGGCAGAAAGCTCGTCACCTGTTCACTGCTAGGAACATTTCTAACTTTTTAAGTGTGTGTGTGTGTATATGTGTGTGTGTGTGTGTATGTGTGTGTGTGCATGCGTGCCACAGGGGACAACTTTAGGAAATCAGTCCCATCTTTCCACATGTGTCCCAGGCTTGCATAACAAACCCCTTCACAGGCTGAGCCACCAGGCCAGCCCAGGCTCAGACACTTCTGGACTGTCAAAGGTCACCAGAAGTCACCACAGACACTATCTGCCCACAGTGGACCATTTACTCCCGTGACGGACTGGTGGGCACCTGCCTCTGGCCTCACACTGTTAGGGAGACATTTTTCAGATGGGAAGCATCCACCTAGGCTTCCATGGGCTAGAAAGGAACCCAGCCTGGAGCGGAGCAGTGTTTCCAGAGACAGTCAAGGGGCTAGTGTTGGGCTACACATGTTCGAAGTTTGCAAACCTTGCAGGGCCATCCAGCACTGGTCAGGGGCTGGGGGGCGGGGGGGGGAGCTGAAGACCTCTTCACAGCGGGTAACAGCTGCCAACTGTGATCCAGCAACTGTGGTCTACCAAGCCTTGAACAGTACACCTCACGTGAGGGCTACTAAGTTGCTCTTCAAGACCAACTATAATAGCAGGTACTGCTATCCCTCCATTTTACAGGGAACCAGAGAGGTCAAGTTACTCCCTAAGAATACAAAGCTAATACAATGTCCACCCTTTGCAGGTACAACCAGAGTTTGAAGTCTCCACACTTGCTCAGTAAGCCCCCAGCCCCCAGGAAAACTGGGAAGCTGATATTTCAGAATGAGCTTGTGGAGAGTTTAGAGATGTCTCTGAGACCTGGGTACACACAGACACAGGCTCCAACCCTTAGGGACGTTAGTTACTCTTTTGAAGCCTATTTTTTCTCTTTCTTTCTTTCTTTCTTTCTTTCTTTCTTTCTTTCTTTCTTTCTTCTTTCTTTCTAGACAGGGTTTTGGTGTAGTCTTGGCTATCTTGGGCTCACTTTGTAGACCAGGCTGGCCTCAAACTCACAGAGATCAAGCAGCCTCTGCCTCCCCGAATGCTGGGATTACAGACATGCACCATGGTGCCAGACTCTATTCTTTATTTCTAAGTTAAATTTCTTTTTCGTAACTTTATTTTTATTTTATTCTATGCATATGAGTGATTTGCTTGCACATATGTTTATGTATCACTTGCATGTTTGGTGCCTGTGGTGGTGGGGGAGGGCAGAAGAGGAGTCAGGTCTCCTAAAACTGGAGTTACAGATGGTGGTGAGCCACCAGCTGGGTGCTGGGCGTCCAAACTTCTGGAGGAGCAGCCAGTGCTCTTAACCACTGAGCCATCTCTCCAGCCCCTCAAAGCCTATTCTTGAGCTTGTGAAAGTCAGGATAAAGTGGTATGCTTCCCTTCTTGGCTACAGTGATGACTAAATGAAGTGATAGCAGTAGGCAACATAATGCCTCGTAATTTCCAGTGCTTACCAAAGGTTAGCCACCATTGCCACCAACACTTCCCATAATGCAGCTAGCACGAGCCTGGCTCTCAGCCTCATTCAGCTCGGAGGGCACCAGGGAAGTCAAGGATCTGGGATGCAAGGATGGTAACTGAATGATACCGTGTGCTAGAAACAAGAAAACCGCTGCATCTGAGTCTGAGATGCTTCCCACCGTCACCCTCAGACTGGGTCCATTGGAATTAGGGATAAACAGGGCTGGGTCTGAGGCCAGAGCCTCTCACCAAGCCTGGCAGCTGGCAGGACTGCCCTCATGGGGCTGAGATGGGCCAGACAAGGTGGGCCAGACCACCAAGGCTCTAAGTGGCTGCAGACAAGGAGGGCCGGGGAGTGGGGAGCCTACCTGCCTGTAGATGCTGCCTTTCAGCTTCCCTTTGGGCTCCTCATGAGGAAGCACTTTGAGAAAGGCAAATCTCTTCCAGTGAGCCACAGAAAGGCATTGTGCCTGCATGTGGACAGCTCAGGAAGAATTATTCTTTTGGGCCAGGGACCAGGGAAAACTTATCCTAGGTACTGGGGGTGAGAGGGTCTCCAGGAAGACCACTCAGCTCTGCCGTTATCGTGCAAAAGTGGGTCGGGCATGGTGAAAACTGTTAATCCCAGCATGTGGGAGGTAGTGGGAAGATGACCAGAAGTTCAAAGCCTGCCTGGGCCACTTTGATTCTCTGTGAAAATATAAAGAGGGCTGGGAGGGTAGCTCAATAGTAAAGTGCTTGCCTAGCATGTTTGAGGACCTAGGGTCAATCTCCAGTAACACACACACACACTAAATAAATCATCCAGTGATTATACTAAAAACAGTGACTGGGCCATCTTCCAATAAAATTTTATTCACAGAAGCAAAGGTAGGCCGGATGTGGCCAGAGGGCAGACACCTGAGTGTATACCCATCCTGCCTCAACCTCCAGAAGCAGGCATTTTCTTCCCCATCCTCAAGGAAACTGCAACAGACTGGGAACAAGCCTGTCTTTTTTAAAGCGATTCCTTTCCCAATCCCTGGATGTGCAGAGTAAATCCAGCCCTGCCGCTCCTGGCCGCCCTGGCAAGCTCTCTCCCGGGATGGGAAGGTCCCCTTCCACCTCACTCTGATGAACAGAAGAGAGCCTGGCTCATACAGCCAGGCCGTCCAGCCAGCAGGCACACAGGGCTGCTGGCTCAGGAGCAAGAGGCAGGCCCAGCCAAGAAACAGCTGTGACCCACACACACCGACTGCTGCTTTACTCCCCTCTCCTGACCGAAAAGCCAGGGCCCTGCAGAACAGGGACAAAGCCTGCTACAAAATGAGAGGTATGGGGTATGGGACTGTTATCTGCAGGCCGGGCCTTGCTGAGAGCTAGCTCTGTGGCCTTCGGCCCCACTACTCAACACCTGCCAACTACAGCATGCAGACCTACTGATCTCTTCAGTGTTTGTCTAATGTTCCAGACCTTCCTGGCAGAAACCTGGTACTTGCCATAACACATAACACAAATGATTAAATGAGTACCGGGAAAAGACCATCTTTCCAGAGAAAAAGAACCCACTTGAACACAGATTCAACTTCTGGAAAGCCAAACCCCCAGAAGGAGGAGATAGCTTTGAAGGCAGCCGTTGTGTTTGAATATGAAACATCTCTCACAAGCTCCTGGACTACAGGTCTGGCCACTAGCTGATGGGCCACGAGGAAATTACTGGATCCTGAGGCCTTGGGCCTAAGCAGTGGAGTGGGAGGTGGAAGGAAGTAGGAAGTATGGCCTACCTGGAAGGAAGCATGGCCCGAAAGATGCACCATGTCCCCTCCCCTTCCTGTCTCTCTCTTCCGGCCTGTGAACAACTTTGCTCTGCCATAGGCCCTTGCTGCCAGGATGTTCACAGCAATGCAGCTTAATTTGTTAGTTACATCTGCATCACTGTGACCTGCCTGGCAGGAACAACGGATGAAGAGAGCTTAACTTGGATACATGGTTTGAGTCTGTCATGGTGGGGAAGTTCATACCACAGCAGTGGCAGTATGAAGTAAGAGCTGTTCGTGGTGGACCAGGAAGCAAGGCTGGAACTACAGCAGCAGTTATAACCCTCCAAGGCTGGTTCCTGGTGAGACCACTCCCAGCAGCTAGGCCTTGCCTCCTCAGGGCTCCACAGCCTCTCCAAAAAGTGCCACCAGCTGAAGAAGCTTTCAGGCCATGAGCTCAGGGTCCATGGCAGAGACCATGGATAGATACCTCTGTGACACCATGAGCCAAAATAAGCCAGTCCTCCCTTTAAACTGTTTCCTCAGGCCTTTGGCATCGGGGCAGAGATGAGGAGCAAGAGTAGCAGAGGCCTGGGCCTTGTGCGCACTTTGTCATGTACAGTGGCTGACCTGGGACATTTAGCAATCTGATCTTTTCTTCCCATGATACAGCAGTGAAGAGGCCCAACACCACATCTTCTTCCCGGTATTTTCACACTGACATGACCCACTGCCTGTGAAAGCTCCAGGACAGGTTGGAGTTAGGCCTCTTGGGATATGATGGGAAGTGGATAAC